AGTGTCTTTAATTGACAGCCCGATTGAGCTTTGGGTGGCCTTTCTTGGAAACCTTTGGGGAATTTTTGAGTTGACGTTGTCTTTTGGCAGCTAATGGCCACCAACCTGCAGACTCACTTTCCAAGGTCAGTCACTCCCAATCTAGAGCCTGGGCAAAGGTCGCTTTAGCACCGTTTAATGGTTGGGACAGTTGAGCCTTTAGCGGCTTTTTTCGCGGGCCTTTGGCGAATTTTTAAGTTCTCTCGATCCTCTAAGAGCTCGTTGTTATTAGCCCGAAGGCTCACGTTCGATGGCCAGCAACTGCCCATCTGGAGCCTTTGCTAAGGTCACTTTACCCGCGTTCTCTTCAAGAGCTCGTCCTCAATCAGGCGTGCGACTGGCAATTTTTGCAAGAGCCTTTGAAGATTTTTTTGACTTGGGGGCTTTAACAACGCAACTTAATCCGCTAGTTTCGCAGGCAAAAATCGCATTTTGCCTGCTTTCGGACCACCAGGAGGCAAAAACACAGCCTCAAATCATCCGCAAACCCCTCAAGGCACTCGCCAGTAAAATATGGCCCCGTCCCGGCATTTTTGCGCCTGGCCAAATGAAAATTCAACAGTTGCGCCTCTTGAAACGTTGCGTCCATAATGCGCACTATTTATGAGCCCTTATCCAGATTCGATCCAGAACAGTGGCGGCCCACAACGCAAGTTATTTATTAACGTAACACAACAACTGCAGTTTTCCATAAAAACTAGTCCTCGTCGTCCTCTTCCTCATCCTCCTCCTCCTCCTCCTGCTCGGGCTCGGCCTCCTCGCCTCCCTCTCCCAGCTGCAGTTTCGGCTTGGGCAAGTGGTCGATGCGCCACTGCTCCTCCTCCTGCCCGGACGGGTCCAACACCTCCAGAACCTCCGGCCCCACCGGATACTCCTGCTGCACAGCAGGCAGAGGCAGCGGCGTGAAGTTGGTCTGCATGTACTTCAGCCCGTCGCCTATGTAGACGTTGTAGAAGCCGCTGGTGGGCGTGGCAAGGGCGTGGCCGCCAGGCCACAGGTTGGAGCGCACCACCGCCAAGGAGAACATGTCCAGAACGCTGGCGGTGGGGCGCACCGTCCACGGATTGGTGGTCTCCAGGGAGGCGTCCTCCGAGAGGGGCGTGAGAAGGGGCGGCCCGCTTTCCGGCTCCACCCGCGTGGCTTTCGGCTCCTCCTCCTGCTCCTCCTCGCCCAGTTGCTCGCCCTCGTCCTCCTCATCGCCCGCGCCCTCCAGGTCGGGCCCGGGGTTCCACCTGGTATAGGGGCAGGTTACTTTTAGCTGCCCCCTACAGGGTGTCCCCTCATGGGGACACCCTGTACGGTTGGGGCTCCGCCCACCAGCTGGTCCTGCCCTGCGGCAGAATGTAGGGCGCCGTGTGCACCCAGAACGACATGGACGAGTCCAGGAGATCCTTCAGGGCGGGGGGCTGGTAGTGGGGGTTGGGGCTGTAGACGGTTTTCGGCTCCCCACCTGCTGCCTGCAGCAGGGAACGCATGCTCAACCCTGTTGNCCTCCTCTTCGGCGCCCTCCCCCAGCTCCTCTGCGCCGAAGGTGTAGAACCCCAGAGGGGCCACCAGGGTGGCCGAGGAGATCCTGGCAATCTGCGCCCTGAGCAGGTGCCTCTCCTGGCCGGGGAACTCTGGGTGGGTCTGGATGGGCGTGTCCAACCGTCCGCTGAAGGCCTTGTGGATCTGGCGCGCCACTCGGATCTGGAATGGGGTTTAAAAGGAACTGGGGGGGGTGGGAGTTGCGAGGTTGCCTGTTGTGGGGAGACGTCCGGCAGCTCGGTCCAGGGCTCCCCTATCCCGGGGCACACGAAGTAGGCCTTCTTGTTGAGGCCCACGCCCGAGGGCTCCATGGGGGCCTCCGCCGGAGGCAGGAAGTGGATCTGGGGCTCCGCCGGCAGGGCCCTGGGGACTTTGGAAGTTGCCCCTTCTCCCGCCAGGGACAGGTGGGCCAGCGCCTCGTCCAGCTGGCTCATCGGGGCGCTGGGCAGCTGGGCGGTTTGCTCCGCAAACTCCTCGTTCCGCCGCACATACTCCTCCTCCTTCAGCTCCGCCTCCAGCACCAGGTAGTTCTGGAAGGTCCCCAGGACCTTCCCCCAGAAGCGGATGGAGGCGATCNCCCCGCCTGTTCCAGATAGAAGAGCATCTCCAGCAGGTTGTTCCTGGACATGTCGGCCAGCTCCAGGTCCTCCGGGTCCAAGGTGGAGGGGGCGGGGGCTGGCAGCGGGCGCAGCGCCCTCAGCATGTGGGAGGCGAGCTCGAAGGCGGCGGGCGTGATGTAGCAGTCCTCCAAACGGTCGGTCAGCGGGCGGTAGCGGCGCTCCTTCACCTTGCGGCTGTACTCCTCGAAGAAGTCGATCACATTCTCGGGCCGCTCCGCCAGGATCCGGTTGAGCACCTCGGTCAGGTGGTCGTAGAGGTTGTCGCCGGTGTTGCCGCTGGCCGTTTGCAGGAAAGTCTTGGCGTTGAAGAATTCCGCCTCGTTGTTCGGCAGCTCTTCCGCCGCTTCGCCGGCATTTTGCGTGACCGAGTAGCCGAACAGCATTTTGCCAGTTGGGGGGGGGAAGTGACGTTGACTGATCGCGGGTGTCAAGGTGAATTCGGTTGGTTCCAGGTGAACATCAACTGGATCATGGGGCCCGAGCTGTGCGACATGTGGACCTCGATCGACGTGCTCTGCTGCACCGCCTCCATTCTCCATTTGGTGGCGATCGCCCTGGACAGGTGAGTCTGCGCCCCCCTAAACGCAGTGGCCCAGATGGGGACGAATGCGCAGGTACTGGGCGGTGACCAACGTGGACTACATCCACATGCGCAACAGTCAGCGCATCGGGGTGATGATCGTGATCATCTGGGTGATCGCTCTGGTGGTCTCCCTCGCCCCCCAGATCCCCCAGTTCAAGGACCCGGAGTACCTCTACCGGATCGAGGTGAAGAAACAGTGCCTGGTCAGCCAGGACGTCAAGTACCAGATCTTCGCCACCAGCTCCACCTTCTACGTGCCGCTGCTGGTGATCTTCGCGCTCTACTGGAAGATCTTCCAGGCGGCCCGCAACCGCATCCGCAGGCGACGCGAGCTGAAGCAGCAGAACGTCCAGACCAGCGAGAAAACGAACAACAACAGCCGGTGAGTGTGGGTGAGGCTGACAGAGGCTGCACGGAAATTGTAGAATCGTCTACCTCAGGCTGACCAGCACGTTCCTGGGCAAGCGCCGGTTCCTGCGCGTGAAGAAGTCGGCGGAGAAGAACCCGTCGGCGGAGGCGCTGGTCAGCTCGCTGGTGATGATGGAGGGCCAGTCGACCACCACCATGGAGATGCTGGAGGAGCATGAGGAGCCCACCAGCAGCAACGACCAGGAGGTGGGTGACTGTCTGCGTGTGATTGTGGGGACTAATTGAGGGTTTCCAGGAGGAAACCACCGCGTTCACCATATCCAGGCCGCCCACTGGCGAGGGCACGCCCCACCAGGTGCTGATCGTGTCCAGTAGTCTTTCGCCGGACAAGTCGTCGACCAATAGCGGCCACAAGGTATGTGGGGGCGGGGCTTGCGTCGAGCTCCTCCCCCTGCACTTGGCTTTGGACCGCGCCGGCCGCACAGTGGGGGTTTTCACATCAATTGCTCAAACCTCGTGGGCGAACAATATAAAAAGTTTATATTTGCTTTTCCTCCAAAGGACATTCTTGGAGTTTCGGCGCACTTTTGGGGAATGTCCCGCAGGTTTGTGTGGTAAAGTGTCCTAAGTTGACGACCCAATTAGGCGTTGAGTGGCCTTTCGTGCAAACTTTTGCCGAATTTTTAAGTTGAGGTTGTCCTTTCGCAGCTTATGGCCACCAACCTGAAGACTCATTTTCATAGGTCAGTTACTCCCAACCACGAGCCTTGACAAAGGTTCTTCTTACGCAGGTTTGTGTGATAAAGTGTCCGTAATGGACTACCCAATTAGGCGTTGAGTGGCATTTTGTGCAAACTTTTGACGAATTTTTAAGTTGAGGTTGTCCTTTCGCAGCTTATAGCCACCAAAAAATTGAACAAAACTTCAAAATTTAGAAAACTAAAAACGTTGGAAACATTCTGGACACGCCGCTGGACAGAGGAGGACAACGCGCCCAAAAAAGCCGATGTTGACTTTTCACCTGAATGGCCGAATAAGCGAGTTACTGGATGTTTTTGGAATTGCGGGCTAATTTTCGGAAAAAAATTCCCCAATTTAGGGAATTTGTGCCAAATCAAATCGCGGTCAAACTTCACTGTGCAGGCCTTAGTGGTCGAAGGCAACGAAAACTGCCCGAAACAGCAGGACAGATCTCGAAAATAACCCATCCTCAGGCTTCTTCACCTGAAAAATTCGGATGAAAATTCGGCCAGATTTTTTTTTTTAATCAGACGTTTGTCACAAACTGAATGAAAATAATCTCCCAAAATATCTGCGCGCTAATGTGTCAGCACTCAGTCCCAGCAACGCGGCTGAGTTACTGTGCCGGCGCACTGAGTTGGCGCAGCAACCACTGCGCCAACACTGAGTTACTCGCGGCCTGGCGTGATTAATGTGCGATTTTGCAGGCAGAAGTCCAGCAGAAAGAGCGCGCGTCCCGAGCGGCGCTTAGTGTGCCGCGGGACAAACACACGCAGTCCCGCCGGGACAAGAAAGAGAGCCTGGAGGCGAAACGGGAGCGGAAGGCGGCCAAAACGCTGGCAATCATAACCGGCGCTTTCGTGATGTGCTGGCTGCCGTTCTTCATTCTGGCGCTGCTGATGCCGCTCTGTGGCGCCGCCTGCACCATCAGCGAGTTCATCATGAGCTTTGCGCTGTGGCTCGGCTACTTCAACTCGACGCTGAATCCGGTCATCTACACGATCTTCAATCCGGAGTTTCGCCAGGCGTTCAAGCGCATTCTGTGCGGCGCCCGTCGCCAACGATCCCGCAATTGCCGATCGGGCAAAGTGCGGTAAAAACCGCTCGTTTCCTTCGAAGTTGGAGGGCGTGAGGAACCGGAAGACCTGCTTTACTTTGGCGTCACTCCGGCATCACTCCGGCGTCACTCCGGCATCACTCCGGCATCACTCCGGCGTCACTCCGGCGACACTTCGGCGTCCCCCAGCCCTTCCCGATTAATTAGTGAACATTTTATGGCCCGCAAACTGAGGGCGGTCGCTACCAAGTCTTTCCACCGTAGATGCAGATTTAGGTACTTTTTACCCCCATTCGGGGGCTAGTGTTAGTCGAACGAAAATTGTACAAAAACCAAGGGGATTATTGTACAATTGCCCGCTACCTCACCCCATTAAAGGGGCACCTTCAGCGTATACGCTATATGATTGAGCCTGATATACCCGTATACTCAGCCTGAAGGTGGCGCTGCCGCAAAAATCAAAACGTTCCTCCATTGTTGTCAAACGAAAATAGTCCCCGCCCCCCTTTTGTACATACATCTATATCCTGCTATATAAACATCATCTCTTCTGCATGTACATACATATTTAAAGCGGTAATAGGTGGCAACACTGTAAAGTTAAGGAACTCGGTTTTGTGATATATAGATATGTTTTTGTTGAAAATTTGAATGTTTATTCTGTAAATTATCGGGCTGGCGCCCCCCACTATTTACCAGTGTAAAGTGTACTAAACATTGTACTTAAGACTATATGGATTCTGTGTGTTGTACATATATAAATATATATACAAATATTTAAAAAATCCTAATAAACATTGAGGATGGAGCAATGGTGGTTTTCCTGGGGGGATTTGGAAGGTTGGCTCACTTGGGTGCGTAATGGATGTGAGTGGGACGTTTGATATTTTTCCTGGACAACCGGGAATTTTTAGACAAAATTGACTGTTGCCAAAATGTGCCGAATGTCCAGAGCGTGCATGAGAGGCAGCAAATTTTTTTTTTGAAAAAAATGCCAAGAACTTATAATCGAAAAGTTGGGGAGGATTTCTGGCAACACTGCTGGATAGAGGCACTGTGGCGCACGGAGAAGTAATGTTGCCTTTTTTCCAAAGTGACGAATCACAGAGCTGCAGCGGGGCGCTTTAAGAGTGTTTGGGTTTTTTGGTTTTTCCCACATAAATTACCCGGAGAATTTCGAAAAATACAAAAATATATTTTGCGAAAACCAAGAATTTTATGCCGGAAAAAATGTATTCGTCAAAAATTGTTCACGAGCTCAAAAAGCAGCTACGAACAATATTTTCAAAGGCGTTGCAAAATTTTTGGAAAAAAACCCTTTTTGGAAAATCACTTTTTAATTTTTTGCTCGAAAACCAAGAATTTTACAAACAAAAATCTTCTTCAAAAATTGTTTACGAGCTG